CAAAAAAAAAAACCCACACAAAAAAAAACCAGCACCATCAGCAGCAGAGCAGACGACCAACCCACCAGGTTTGGGTGCGACAGGTTCTCGGGGTGGCGGTTTGGGAACTCTCCTACCAGGTCCCCGGGTTCCCGCCCGGTCTGGTTGAGATTCGCCTCCTGTCTCATCGCTTGCAGAAGAAGGGGGCGGGACTGCGTGTCCATTTTCGGTCAGTTCGTGTCCCCCAGCTGCAGAACTATCGCCCACTGCGTACTTGGTTTTGAAAGGGCAACAACTGCACACGTTACCCATATTGCACGTTTATGTCACTGAATACAGTTTATTGTCACTGAATACAAACTAATGTCACTGAATGTGAGAGAAGTTGTCCCTGAAATTCAGAAAGATGTCACTGAACACACCCACAGACTAAATTCACTAAAAACACGTAGAATAGATTCACTTAACACACTCAAACTGAAATAATTAAACACACGCTGATTAGAGTCCTCGATCACACGCAGACTAGAAAAGTCCCTAAAACCGCGTAAGAGACACTGAGATGTAGACTGGATTTCTAAATGCAAGTTGAAGGCTACTGGAAATATTATGTGAAATATCAGCACAGCAATAGTACTCAAATATAGAGCATGGTGTTCAAACTTACCATACGTGACTGAGTTCAAAGCAAGACTGGAACACATGTATCTATACGCCCCACATTTTCTCATCCAGTTTCCGAGAATGCTGGAGTTCACTCGTCTAAAACAACACCAAATATCTGAGGTACTTAAATAATTATTCTCTAGAGTACCATATTTACAATTCAAGAATCCGGGTTAAGAATGTAGAGTATACTTGTTCTGTAAACAAAGAGTACTCATAAAGGCTCACTGTAAACATTAACTTTAAATACACATCAACCTTCGGCTGTTGATCAGTTTGTTTACTATTTAGAAGAATGGTATAGAGTTACACAACACGCAAAAACACAACAGTCGACCTTGATTATGCGTGGATAGGGAGTCCAGACCGACCTACCGACCGACACAATTCGCGCAAACACAACGATCGAGTTAGATTATGTGTGGATTAGAGCATCAACTGACGCCAGACTGACCGATCTAACTGCTACAGCACCATAGCAATTGGGAGCCCAGTGTGACTATTCTGTTGTCAGTAAAGCGCCAGTGTCCTGTATATACCCCTGTTATGACATTACGTCGCACCGGCTGGATGCTCAAATTATTCTCTGACAAGTCGTGGCACGTCTACTGAGTAGTCGCTTCATTATTTTTTTTCTTTTCTTGTGTTTGTTGTTCGTTTTTTCGTTTTTGTTTTTATTTCCTTGTTTTCCTTATTCATCATAATATATCTGTTTGATTGTTTTGCAACTGTGTTTCCGTAATTCTATCCAAAAAAAAATAAATTATATATATATATATATATATATATATATATATATATATATATATATATATATATATATAAAATGTATATATAAAATATAAAAAACCTAACTCCCAAAAAAATTTGCGAGTAACACATGCTTGAAGTTTGAAATTCTTTATTTTCTGCTAAAAATGCGAACGCATTCATCTGTCCAACTAAACTTGCTGGGACAAAGCTTGGAACAGACTTACGAATTGTAGGGTTGATAAGTTGAAGTAACCTCCTCAGCTTGATAATACATGAACTCACTGAAAGAACGAGCTGCCAATGGCAAAGCAGAAAAAAACTGGCTTACTCAGTCATCTGCCAACCATTAATAACGGAGTGC